AGAGAGAGAGAGAGAGAGAGAGGTACAAGTCTCTTAATATAGTCATTTTCAAGATTATTGGATTCATGTAAATAAAAAGTGATGCTAAGATTATGGTTTTAGGTTTATGAGCAAGACCGAGAAATAACTTTTTCTAAGTATATTGAACCGAAGTCACCTGCTTAATATTGTTTCACTTTCTTTTTTGAGTTGGACAACCGTTTCCTAGCTTAGGGCACAATGTTTTATTGTTTGTTAGACAACACAGAAATAATTACTCATGCCATCAAAGAAAAGCCTGCTCACAAAATGAGTACCAAGAAAATAACTACAATGTTCCCCGCAAAAAAAAGTGAAGTGAATTATGCACAAGTCCGTACAATAGATCAAATGTCTCTCACCATCAATAGTAGGCACGCTAAATACATTTTATAGATTATCAGGGCATTCTTTGTTAGGTAATCTTGTCTAATCTGGTTCATTAGTGTTAGCAAAGTTGATTAGTACTCCCTTCTATCACAAATATAAGATGTTTTGGATATTTCAATATGGATTACATATGGACTGGAATAGGTGAACAAATACATTAAAATGTGTCTATATACATCCGAATCAAAAAAGTTAAAACATAGGAGGGAGTAATTAAGTAGACAAGACGTACTAGCTAGTTAGTCTAGTTTGTGTCGGGTCTGGGCTTCCAATGCTAGCCCGGTTAGAACTAGCTTGTGCTTTGCATGTATGGTACTAGGAGTGGCGTTTGAGTACGCTAGTGTCCGACAACATTCTTTTCGTTGGGGCTTACTTGCGTTTTGATTGAGGTCGTCACAAAGTTCACACATTAATTCGCTATCATGGACCAATAGAGTGCACGATGCGTCAAACGAACATACCTCGACTTGGCCGGGGGTTTCTATCTCCTTTTCGAAAAGGAAAAGACCTAACTCTTTTTTTTTGCGGGTGGAAAAAAAATCCTTAACTCATCGGCACGGCGGATAGTTTAGTTAGGTTGTTCCAACGAACGCGCGCCCAGTATCTGGGATGCTTTGTTGACCCCGACATCGTCACCGACTTTGTCGTCCCAAAAAATATTTACGGGATAGCACCGATAAACATCACCTGCGACTTCTTCACCTACACCGGCTTCTGTGCTGCCATGAACATGACCATGCCGATGCTGATGCCGGGGGCGCAAAACTTCACTGTGACCAAGGCCACCATGATGTAGTTCCCAGCCCTTAACGGGCAAAGTGTGTCATATGCCTTGCTCAAGTTCCCCTCAGAATCCATCGACCCTCCACACACGCACCCGCGTGCCGCTAAGTTGTTGCTTGTCCTCGACGGTGCGCTCTCTATGGGATTTATGCATGCATCTGGCAAGCTCTACACGCAGGACCCTGGCCGCCGGTGACATGTTTGTGTTCCCCAAGGGTCTGGTGCACTAGCAGTCCAACCCGAGGGAAAGCCCCACCGGCGCACTCTCGGCCTTTGGCACTGCCGCCGCAGGCACCGTGTCTGTTCCCATTACCGTGTTCGGCACATGCATTGACAATGAGGTGCTCGCCAAGTCGTTCAAGACTGACATGCCTACCATGCAAAAGCTCAAGTCGGCACTCACTCTACCACCGAAGAAATGATTCGTCAGTGTATTGCTGCCACCATGAATAATAAACCCTCGAGCCAGCGAGTGATGGTGAAGTAAAGCTGGTGGTCATGTGAGTTTTAAGTTGTGTAATGATATGCTTGATGTGACTTGTGAGTTGTTTGTCGTGATCATGCCAAATATTATATGATTTGGGTGTTAAGACTATGACATCAAATGTACTTGTGTCTATTATGC